CTACTGGACCATTGTGCTGGGATAGATGCCGTGCTGTGTTCCTGCCTTGGGGACAGCAGTTAAGTGTTGCTGTTGCAAAGTAGCAATTATAACTGAAAATGTACATTATGTTCTCAGAACAGTTGCAGGTAGGGCAAACTCCCTGTGGGGGATTATATCCTAGCTTTTGTCTGCTAGATCCAGGAAGTGCTGAGGCATCCCTCAAGGGGCCAGATGCTAAATTTAAATGCAGAGACATAAATTTAAATGCTGAGCCACTTTGGTGAGCCACAACCAGTACAATGAGCTTTTACTGTTTTATTTTTATTTATTTTTAGTAAGAATTTAGTGTAATAACTAGAAAAATGTGCATTTCATTTAGCCCCTCTTCAGAGAATTATTTCTATGTGTGCTGATTCGGTGTTTGTTTATTTTGGGGGTTTGTCAACGTGACACAGACTGGGGTCATCAGGGAAGAAGGAACCTCAGCTGTAAAATGCCTTTGTCCAACTGGCCTGTAAGCAAGCCTGTAGAGTTTTGTTTGTTTGATGATGGGTGCCAGAGGGCCAAGCCTGCTGTGGGTGATGGCACCTCTGGTCCTGGATTGCGTTAGAGCTGCCTGAGTGGGCCTTGAAGAGCAAGTCGGTAAGAAGTATCCTTCTATGGCCTCTGTTCCAGTTCCTGCCCTGGCATTCTTTCATGGTGGACTGTAGCTTGCAAGATGAAATAAACCCTTTCTCTAGAACTTACTCTTGATCATGGTGTTCTCACAGCAAGTAGAAAGCAAACTGAAATGAAAGAACAGCATTTTTACATGTTAGTTGCCGTGAGACCTGTGCATTCAGAATGCTTTGCTGTGTGAACCGTTGACTCTCTGCTGTAGAATGCCTGTGCTGTCTGCTTCCAGAACAGCTTGCCGGAGAGCAAAGTGGCCAATTAGTGCTTGCTCTTCAGTAAAACTACATATTCAGTTTATTTTTCATTCCTTGCAAAAAAAAAAAAAATAGTGTTATCAATCCATTGTTGGGCAATCATCTGGTCACAGGGAAATTCTTCAGATATATTAAGGATCTGGGAACTGCCATTATCATGAACATTTACAGAAAGCACACAGAACTAACATTGCATTCCTAAACAAATACAAAGATAATAAGATTGTCAATAAAATGGTCAGTTAAATTTCAATATTGGATATACATCTAATTAGACTTTAGTATAACTATCTCTGAAATATTGTTAAGAAATATACATTAAGAAATTATTCCTTTTTTATATTTCAAACTTGAGTAGGCATTGTGTTTATTTTTTCAATCTGGATGTGCTCAATTAAGATGCAAAATTAAAGAAAGCGGTGTGCAGTGGTTCCTGTTCACCTCTCTGGCGTAACCATGTTTCACTGTGAGCATTCTTGTAAAAGCCATGGATAGTTTTTATAAATATGCATATTTATGCTTTTTAAAAATATGTATCTATTAATCTCTACCTATAATGAATCTTATATTCTCTTATTTAATACAAGTAGTAGTAGCTTAATACAATATCTTACACACATTCTATTTAAAAAAATTGATTCCTCTACCATGTGGTTTTATTTTCAGGACAATATGAAAATAGGAGATAGAAGCTTAGTTCAGTGGCTCATCCTTCTTATCCTTGGGAGGCTGAGGGAAGAGCATGAGGAAGGACTATATAATACCACTTAGGTTATATAATGAGACTTTTTAAATAAATAGGGGCAGTATGATAAGATTGTGGGCTTGGAAATCAGGCAGAGGGAATTTCAAGTCCAGCTTCCCCCACTTAAGAGCTCTGTGATTTTGTGATGCCCTCACACCCTTCTTGTCTGGAAGATAGGAGAACACTCTGTGGGGCACCAAAGGGTACTATGGGTGGCAAGAGAGTGACAATCCTTGCCCTCAAGATGCTGTATCTCCCTAATGCAAAATCCACTGGGTGACGATTGATGTGTCGCAGGCTTCCGAATGCATGTTTATTGAACAGACTTTAGGTTCATTTATAACCAGATGATTATAAGCAGAACACATGGGTGGTTGCTAGTGGGGAGCCACAGCTTCTGTGATTCTCCCTGTGTTGGTGGATTTAGTCCTAACCCTTGAAATGCAACAGCCATGTTTTGTACATTAATATAAGTAGGCTTACTTTATCTTAGGCATTTTTCTTAAAATATTGCATTTTAAAATTGATTTGTTTAAAATAGATGAACATCATATAAGTGATAAATGTTATCTTTTGTTGACAGGACTACTAACAGGTTCTAAAAATACATAGATCCAACTGGATCAGATTGTGCGGACAGTTGGCTGTGTTGAATGTCTGTACCACTCTACTTCATTTATACTGAGAATAGCTTTTTTTCCCATTGGCTTACTCTTGTCTAGATGTGCTGCTTAGTTGGTTTTCTTTTGTTTTTTGTTTGTTTATCAAATTGACATAAACTAGGGTCGTCTAGGAAGTGGAAACCCCAGTTGAAAATGCCTCCATTATATCGGCCTTTCCTTGATTAATGACTGCTATAAAAGGGTCTTACCCACTGTGGGCTGTGCTACCCCTGGGCAGATAGTCCTGGGTTATATAAGTAAGCCTTAAGAGCAAACAGTAAGCAGCATTCTTCTATGACCTCTACTTCAGTTTCAGTGTCCAGGTTCCTGCTTCAGTTTCTGCTCTGACTTCCTTCAGTGACGGATTGTGTTGGGGAAATGGAAATCAGATAAACTGTTCTCCCCAAGTTGGTTATGGTCAGGGTTTTATCAGACCAACAGAGAGCAAAGTAGGAGAGAAGAAAATGGTTTTCATGGTGATTTTGCCATTGAAAAGGAGAAAAATTGTGGGGTGAATATTTCTCTTGTTGAGAGGCAGCATTTCATAGTATTTGAACTGTGCACTCTGGATCCAGACCGTATGTGTTCAGATCTTGGCTTCATACTGGTGATGTCATCTGAGTCAAGAGACTTGTCTGGTTCCTCTTATGGGAGTGGGCTGTGAGGATTAAGAGAATAATTGAATAATGTGCTTTGAACGCTGCTCAGCTTATGGGGGCTTTGTACTTGCCTATGTTATACAGTAACATATAATGTTGAGGTGTAAAGAGTGAAGAATTGGGAGGCGAATAGAAGAATTAGTGGCAGTAGTTTGGAGGCAGTAGACTTGATTTTTTTTTTTCTTTCCCACAGGTCTGTACTTACGAGTTTGAATTTTTGGGATAGGGTATAGGTCATAGAAATGAACAACTTAAAAAATATGTTCTTGTCCTGTCACAGTTGTTGATATGTAAATCCTATGGAAACCTCTGAAAGTTATGCTTTTATTTTAGGAACATCAGAGTGGGCAAACTGTGGGACTACTTTTTCTTTTGTTTTGTATTGCTTTAAATTTCTGAAATCTGCAGGAGTAATGCTCTCATATGGAAATTACTGTCTGTGACTTGCCACTGAGCTGGCTTTTTCTTTTCTTTTCTTTTCTTTTCTTTTCTTTTCTTTTCTTTTCTTTTCTTTTCTTTTCTTTTCTTTTCTTTTCTTTTCTTTTCTTTTCTTCTCTTCTCTTCTCTTCTCTTCTCTTCTCTTCTCTTCTCTTCTCTTCTCTTCTCCCTTCCTTCCTTCCTTCTTCCTTTTCTTTCCTTTTTCCTTTTTCTTTTCCCTTTCCTTTCCTTTTTTTTTTTTTTTGACCCTTATGGTAAGCGGAGGGGGAACATGAGAGTCTATTTCTACATAACTGGTTTGTAGCTGACTATGGGCAACAGTGTTTTTCTCTGATGAGATCTGCTCTGCAAATTATTTGCAAGCCGGCAAGCTTCTAAGCATGTCCTTAACACTGTCCATCTGTCTGAGTTTTCCTAGGGAACCTGTATTGACCTAGAATTTATTGGGTATACCAGCAACATTTTTCTTTTCAAAACTTGTTTTTAGTATTACTTCTAAATATACTCAGATTCAAAATAGATAAGTAAATTAAGAAGGGAAGGTTAATTTATTTTATTATATATTCTTTTATTTAAACTTTTTTTATACAGTATATTTTGACATACTGCAGCTCCTCCCAGATCATTTTTCCCTCCCTATCTCCCCAACTTTATATTGCGCGCGCGCGCGCGCGCGCACACACACACACACACACCACAAACCAAAAAGTAAACAAGCAAAAGACCAGTAAGACAAAAAAAAGTATCAAAACAAAGCACAGTGAATCAAAAAGTACACAAAAAACACTGAAATTCATTTTGTGTAGGCCAACTACCCCTCGACATGTGGCCTGCCCTGACGTGGTTCATATTCCCAGTGATACTCCATTGGAGAAAACTGATTTTTGTTCTTTGCTAGCAGCTATCAGTTATAACTAGCTTCTTGTTATGAGGTGGGAGCCTATATCCACTCTTTCTTTCAGTTCTATGACCCCTCCTCCCAATCTGGTTTGAACCTGTGCAGACGTTTGTGTGGTGCACTGTCTCTGTGAGCTCATTTGTGCATTGGTACTGTTCTGTCTGTAGGATGCTCTGTCATTGGAGTCATCCATCCCTCTGCTTCTGCCTTCTGCTTCCTCTTCTGAGCCTATGAGCATGTCACAGTTTATTTTCAGTGGCGTGTGTATTGTCTCCCAGTTCGGGCTGTGGACATTTGGGATAATGTCACAGCATTTCATGGTTTTGATCACAGAATTTCTTCTGCACACACAAGTGACCCTCTTGTTCTTTGGCATGAAGGTCTGTAATTCAAAATGCCTGTCTCAAAACAACCAACCAAACAAACAAATGATGACAGTTGTCCTTATTGAGAAGCTGCAAAGGAAATGCATTGGAGACTTTGTCCTCTGGTCTAGAACAGAACTTTTACCTTATTATTATTGCAGCTATTATCAAAGTTTTAAAATTATTTCTTTGCTGCATATGATGCAAACTGTTGCACTTGTCAATACAGTTTTAATAAAAGAATTATAATAACATTAAGCACTTTTTAGTCTTTAGTTTCTATTAAAATATAATGACTCCATTTTATTTCTTTTCTCCTCAGAGTTTCATTTTAGCTGGTGGTTTGCATCATTATAGAGAACACTGAACTTTGGAAAAGATGTTGGAAACCATAGGTAAGAGTTTTCTTTTCTCCCAGTTTTTGTCAGAAATGAACATGCTTTTACTGCTTTTCAGGATGTCATCTTCTACATAGCTACAGTAACTTAGATTTACATTTCTTTATCCAGGATCCTTGAACCAGGTAGTGGATTTCTGTATTTGTGCAATTTTATCCACATGGCTGTGTAAACCAAATAATTCATAATAAGTAAACATGAGAGTCTGCAAATTATGAGTTTTAATAAGTTAATAGAAGTTCTGCTCTATTTTATGAACCCAATTATGGCTTTTGGGTTTCACTGGAAAGCTGAACATAAGTTAATTCTCAAACAGGATTGTGATTCTCACTTGTGTTTGTATAGGTAAAGAGCTGCCTGATGGGACAGTAATCATCTCTCCAGTTTCATTTACTAAAATTGTTTAATTTCTGCAAGACATAATTTTGGTTGAGTGATCAGCTTTCCCCTGGTTCTGTGTTACTATCTTTCCCACACTGCACTGCAGTGTTAGAGACAATTGGCTGGCAGGTGTGGTGACACTGCAGATTGCAACATGTCAGCACTGTGCCTTTGCGAGGCAGCTCTTGGAAGCCTGCATACTGAAGGGGACATGTAGTTCACTCTTGCATGTGGATGACGCCTCCACAGTTGCCCTTTTTGAGGGATTGGGACAATAAAAGGAAAGAGAGCTGTTGTAATATTTTATTTTATTTATTTTTTATTTTTTTTTTTTTTTTTTTTTTGTAATATTTTAAATACGGACCCATTCCTACTCTAATCAGAAAATTCTGTGTGGATAGATTTTCTATACTTCAGTCCTCATTGAATCATAGGTGGTTAGAACAGTGTAGGAGAAGGAAAGGGAGAGTCTGGCTCTCACTGAACTGTTGCTTTCTGGATTTTATTCTGTTACTAAGCAGCATATCTTCTAAGATTTGATGTGCACATTAGTGATAGATTTGTGTTCTGACTTACCATGGAAAATTTGACACAGAACAAACAAAATTTTCATGCGTATCTTAATCATTCTTTGATTAGAATTTCTTCAGGAAGAATACTGTTTATTTCAGCTTATTTGTGTTTATGTTCTTATGATCAACATGACTTTATATTTGATTGGGAGTGTTTGTGGCATGCCAGATATGGTTCTATAAGCACTGTCCCTTATTACAATCCCATTTTTCTGATTATTGTGGTTGGCAATAGAAGTACATGCTCTCATCATGACTGTATTAGGACATATTTGAACAGTCTCCATTTGAAAAAAAAAACAAATTTGAAGTACAAAGTTTAAGAACCTATGCTTGTATAATGTAGGAATATGCTGAAATTCACTGGTAGAAGCTATATGTAAGTTTCTAGAACTATAAGGGCATACTAAAATTCTCACTTTCATAAGGTACCTGATTCAAAATGTTTTAATAGTTATTTGAATTATTTTGGTTTGAAACTTTATAAATATGCGATTTAATTTTAGGGGAAAATACTCCAAGGGCTGAAATAATACTTTTGAAATATTTATTATTTAATATTGCTAAGTTACTAAGTATAGAATACTTTATTTTTCATTTTTTATTAATTAATTAAATTTACATCTGGACTATAGTCCCTTCCCTTTTTTCCTCCCAGTCCCATCCTCCCTCCCACATCCCGCCTCCCCTATTCCTCAGAAGGGGATCCCTCCCTACCCACACACTCCAGCTTAGCTATTCACATGAGGATTGAGTTCATCTTCCACCCCTGTGGTCTGGTAGGGCAGTCTCATCAGGGAGAAATGATTAAAAAGCAGGGAACATAGTTCATGTCAGAGATATCCCCCCTCACCTGACCATGTTGGCCCACATGAACCCTAAGATCCCCATCAGCTACTTATGTGCAGAGGACCTAGGTCCAGACCATGCATTGTCCTTGGTTAGTGCTTCAGATTCTCTAGGCCTCTTGTATTTTGGATGTGATTCATCAGTCTCATCCACATCCACCTATTAATGAGTTAATTACCCTTTTTTTCTTATGTGTAAACATGTTTTATTTATCTTTTTTTTTTTAAGAAGAGATCAGATTTTTAAGGTTAAAACATCTGGCACTGAATTCCGTTACACATCATTTGCATCAGTTTCTGTGACTTTACAACTGTTTGCCTAAGTATGTACTAAACACTGCTCCTGCTTTCAAATGAACGTGACTGTAGGAGACTTAAAGGACCAGAGGAGAGGGTGTAGTCTCCCTTTAGGTACTAAATGTCAAGAAGTAGCAGGGTTGTTTTGAAGCATATGCAAGTAACACTATTAATTTTGAGAAAAAAAAATCTTTAAATTATTAAGTGTCCTTACACTGACTTAAAAATATGTACACTTGTATAGCTTTGCACACAGTTCAAATATGACAATACTGTGCACTTGGGAGATTGTTTTAGAAATTCTAAAGGCATAGAGTCATCATAGAGTTGACTAGCTTTTTGACTCCTATTATTGACTGATGCTTCCTTTTGGAATAGATAAAAACCGTGCCCTGCAGGCAGCAGAGCGCTTGCAAAGCAAGCTGAAGGAACGTGGGGATGTTGCAAATGAAGACAAACTGAGTCTCCTCAAGTCTGTCCTGCAGAGTCCACTCTTCAGTCAGATTCTGAACCTTCAGACTTCCCTGCAACAGCTTAAAGACCAGGTAGGATGTCATCACCTAAGGTGGCCCTGGGAGTGTCCCAAAGATCTTGTGCAAATAGGCTTGTGCTTTTCCAAAGGCTGGCTTTTGTATGCATTAATAAAGTCATTTACACTACCCACAGACATTTATGCTCACTGTGGCTTTTCCCTGCTGGTTATTTTTGTACCCGTTGTTGCAGATGATATGACATTATGTTGAAAGCTCGTGTGGATGCTTAGACACGAGCTTCTACAGGAGGAAGGCTGATGAAAATGTTTGCACTGGGCTGCTGCACACTTGGTTTTGATCATCACTAAGCTGTGTTGTTCGTGTATCTTGCTCATTCAGATTCAGACATTCAGCGCGTAGCATGAATTTGTATGTTTAATCATGTGTGCGAGGAAGGGAAGTCACCTCTGTTTTGACAGTGAAAGGATAATTACATTGTCATCAGTCAAAGGAACTGCAATTCTCACTTCTTAAGACTGTGCAAGTAGCACTTGCTTCCATGACAGCATCAGATGGTGATAAACATTAGGATTTCTAAATGTAACACCATGTTTTATTCCCTGTAAAAATTATGAGCATTAAAAAGTTTGAACATTTATATTAAAACTGAAAGCATATCATTTGACAGAATAAAAACCGAAGTTAAATGTTCTTTGAACTTACCTAATTTAATCACCATTTAGCAGGATTTAAAAATATTTTTAAAACAATTCTTATCCTCTCAAGGTTCGAAGTCAGTTTAATTATGTTCTCATGTTTTTAGAATTAATTTAATGATTATGGATGACTTGCTAGCAAATATTCTGCCTTAAAAGGGTAAAAATAAAACTTGAAAACTACTTTCATAATTCAGTGAATGAGCAGTTCTAATGGGATGAATGTTCCAGATGCCAACAGAAAGACAAAGGAGAATGCCTACTGTCTCCCAACCTTAACCCAGATTCCTATGCACTTTTGTAATTCCCCAGAAGTGAGAAGAAGAATCTTCAGAAATATATTTCTTTTGGGCTCAGGCAATAACTCAGTCAACAGTGTTTTTCATCCCCAGAACCCTCTGTTAACAAACAAACAAATGAAAACACAACAACAAACACAAGCTGGACATGGTGGTGCTAAGGAGAGGGAAACAAATGGATCCTACAGGCATATACACCTGCACACAGGGACATGCAGACACACAGATACACTCCCACAAACTATTTTTCTTTACTAAGTTTCAGAGTAATGATTTAAAAAGTCATAGTTGTAATTTAAAAAGATTTTGTTGAGTGTATGTGTTTCTCTTCTTGGTAAATTATTGGAAAGATTGGTTTTCAATGTTGTTGGACTGATAACCTTTTGGAGAAATCAGTTTCTAGAATATAAGCATAAACATGGTATGGAAAATTATGTTTGTTTGTTTTCAAGAGTGTAAGAAATTGAGCAGAAGTCTTCGTAGTGTATTGTGTGAACATGCAGTTGTAATGAGGGGAAGACTGAGTTGTATACCAAGTATGTAAAAATACACTGGTTAGTCAAACATAGTAGCTGGATCTCTCCTTGTTAGCCAGCATTCTGCAGGGAAGATGTTTGTTCACTGTGTCTGATGAAAGAACACAGATGGGCCTGCAGGTTGCACTGGTTCTGTTGTTTCCAAGTGGAGTGGAAATAGGATGTAGCTCTAGGCTGGTGGGCCTCCATGATTCACACAAAGCCTTCTGGGAAACTTATTGAGTGTGGTAGGGAACTTCACAAAGTGTAGCCTGCTTTGATTTTTATTACTGATACAGGAATGTCTCTGATACTGCAGAGGACACTGAGAAAGATTCTGTACCACGAAGGTCTAAGATTTATTTAACTCCATAGGTAGACCAGCAGACAACAGCATGGCCAGAGCTCTTGAGAGGAGTTCAGGCTTCAGCGAGAGAAATAGATAGCATGATGGGGACTCTGAGGAGAAGCAGTGTCTGTTCTTCCGAAGGACCGGGGTTCAATTCCCAGCACCCACATGGCAGCTCACAACTGTCTGTAATGCCAATTCCAAGATATCTGACACCTTCACACTAATGCACATAAAATAAAAAAAATTAAATAAATGTAAAAAAGGAAACAAAAATAGAAATGGAAGAGTATGTGCAGCTCTGCCCTGTTTGTTACAGTGGCACAAGAAGGTAGGTGATAAGGCAGAGCTACAAGTAGGTGTTGGTTTCCTTACTGCCTTTGGGATCTGCAGCCTGTTTTAGAGCTTTTATTTCTTGTTTCTTTCAAGGATAGTCTTGACATCTATGCATCTCTCAAAGGCTAATGTCTTTTCCCAGGACACTGAGATTTTGCATTTGCATGTGTATTCTGTGAAGTTTCTCAAATCTAATATAGGTGGATGCCACTCTTTACCAATTCCTTTTACTAACCAAGTTTATTTCTTTTATGAGTCTAGTAAAATTTCAAATTTTATTTCATAATATTTTCTAGACTTTATCATGTTAGCTTTAAAATGTTAATTTATTAATGTTTATAATTTAATAACTTATATAAAGAATAAAATTTGTTTCATGCTCTTAATCCAGTATCTATATAAATTACACATTGCTAGTCCTAATTAGTTAGCTTATACCTATATTATAGTTTTGACATACAATTTTATGTGCACAGCAGGTGGAGATTACTGCTTCCACCTTTTCTTTTTTAACTATCTTCAACCTTCCCCCCACCATGCCAAGTATCATTCTCTGTCTGTTAGAGAAGCAGAGGAAGTGAATAATTGGAAAGCTCGAGGTGTATACAGCATGCTAAAGAACATGATCATATTGTTGCATTAATGACAGATGCTGACATGCCTTGTTGAATTAAACCTGCAATTTTTCCCCTCCCATCCTTCTCATTACTTCTATTCAATAATGTTTAATTTTTTCCAATTTGCTTCTCCAGTATTAAGACTGCCCTTAGAAATCAAACTATTTCCATTTGGCAAATTAAACACTTGACAGGTGTGTAACTGAGAGGGCAAAAGAGCCGTGCCCTGAAGGGATGTGCTATTTAAATATTGTCAAAAATATTAGCAGCTCTGAGAGTGTAATTGATGCCTCTGTTTAACTCCGCCACATTGTGTATTGTTCTAACGCCAGCTAAAAGGATGTATGCTATTAAACCTGAATAATCTCTAATCGTTCCAGCTCATTTCCTATTGCACTATTCCCGATTAAGTGAAAAGGAACTGCGACTGTGTGTCAATGATCTGTCAAATGCAGGTTCTCAAGTAGTGTCCTCACTGTCACCTAGTCATCACAGCTATTAACTACGTGGCTTAATGCGTATTCATGACAAAAGTCTAGCTATTGTGGGAGAAATAAACACGTTAGCAGTTTAATAATAGAAACTTGTCAGCCTTGAGCATATCGGATTTGCATATTTAATCGGTGAAGTTGCCCCCGACCAGTATAGATGAGGTTGGTGCTTTCCTGGTTAAATAATTGCTTTATGAATGACCATGGGCACTAAATCAGTCCCCCATGTTGCTTGTAGGAACAATGTGGATTACAATTATTAATTTTAAATAGAAATTTACAACCAAGATTTAGAAATTGATGTTGGAAAGATTATTTTTAAATCGTGGCAACAGAGACTAATTCTAAGATCAAAGAAAATACATGGCTAGCTCAGGTTGCCAAAGATGCTTCCGTAGGAAATGTACCTTGCAACAAGAATATCAGGGTCTGCTTGTTAAGAAACTCCAGCATCTGTGGCAAATGGTATCCTGCTGTATTGTGGTTTGATTAATGTTTCCAGGTTCTTAGTTCATCCGCCATCCTCCTCAAAAACATGCTGGTGTGTACACATTTTATTTAGAAGTATAATTTATAGTAATGTGTATATATACATTATATTTACATGTATACACACACACATATATTAAAGCTAGACTTCACTTTGAAAATTTATAATATTTTGAAATAACTGAAGTGATGCTAGGTTTTATGTATTATTAGAGTTGGCAGTTAGAATACTTAGATCATTAAAAAAAATAACTTATTTTTGAAGTACCTTCTGTATGCTTCTCTTTTTTGAATAATTCTGTATTTATAAGTTTTACCTGGTTACATTCAAAACAACTCCTGATGACAAGTTGAATAATGAACAAAAGTGAACACAAATACAAACATAGTCAAAATACTACAGAAGTAGATCTATGGATACCTAAGGACCTTGATTAATGAAATTCATATTATTTAATTTTGGTTGCTGAGTATTGGGGCAAAACCAAACCAAATGACAAAAGAACTGGGGGTTATAAATTTCTTATTGTGAGACATTCATTGAATTAAAATTTTTCATGGCAGTGAAAGCTACTTAGCACACTAACAGTTTTGTGGATCATTTATGGTGTTTATAAAGCTTTTGCTGCTGAACATCTATAATCAATGAAAATCAAGTGAGTGTGTCTTATTATTTCAGGGAGAACACAGAACACAGGAAACAAGATGATAAGTGCTGCAATGCAGAGAATTCTTAGCTTTGACTTAAGGACTAGTCCCAACTACAAGGCACAATATTTAAAATTGATGATGAAAAATGGGTATTTTTCGGCAGAGGTGAGGGAATAGTGTCAGGTGGAAGGAAGAATAATTATATGTGTACAGAGTGCTTTTTAAATGAGAGTACTGTCTGCAGTCAGTTTTGCTTGTCCTAGTTGGTGATAGCGGAGCTGCCATTGCTGTGTGATGGGTAGAGCTTGGGGAAGTTGTCACATGACCATCAGTGTCTAGCACAGGCTTGCCTTCCCACAACTTGGATTTGGTTTGTTTACTAGTCTTCTGATTGAGAAACCTTGGAACAGAGTTGCTGTGTGTACACATATTTACCAGTGTTCCTAAATGATAAAAGTACTGAAAAGAATAGTGATACTGGAGACATATCTCAGCATAATAAAGCCTATTTATAGCAAGCCTATAGTCAGTATCATCTCAAAAGAAGAAAAACTCAAAATGAAGACTAGGACAATGGTATCTACTCTTCTACTTCCTGTTCAGCGTAGA